CCTTAGAGGAAGTAATAGATCAGAAGGATTAAATAGGCATACACAGAACTGTCTAACCCCAAAGATATGAATAAACATACTTATCCTGTGCACATGGAAAATTCTCAAGTATATATCATGTGCTGGGACGCAATATAAATCTCAAAGATTACACTGAAATTACAATTACATCAAGTATGTTTATGGTCGCATTGGCATAAAGCTAGACAGTAACACACAAGAAGAAATTTAGAAAAATCAAAATCATGGAGACTAAGCAAATTGTTTTTGAATAATGTTGGATCAATTAAGACATCAAGGAAGAAACAAAAATTATCTGGAGACCAATGAAATTGAAGAGACATGCTAGCAGATCTGTATGAGATTCAGGAAATGCATCTTTAAGTGAAAAATATGGCCCACATGAATAAGCAAACACAAAATTTTCAAATAAAAATTCTACTTCCGCATCTGAAGGGGAGGGGAGGGCAACATGACAGTGTATTGGCACTGGAACTTTGGTGGAGAACAAGTGAGCCTGGCATTTGTGTCCCCCAAATTATGTCACTTTGTGGAAGTATGGCAAATTATTAAAATTCGATTTTGAAAAGGCAGCCCACAGCACTCCCCGCTCACTTCCCTTTTGCTATCTGTGAGACATCTGTGGGCCAGGAAGTAGGTTCCCGCCAAGACCTGAATTCATTGACCACTGGGTCTTGGAGCTCCCAGTGTCCATAACATGAGAAAACAATATTTTTGAGTTTGTAAGTCACTGGTATATTAGAGCAGTCTCTTAGAGCAGCCCAGACAAACTAAAAAGCAGGCCCATGTATATATAGATAGATAGATAGATAGATAGATAGATAGATAGATAGATAGATAGATAGATAGATAGATAGATAGATAGATATTATAGAAATAATTTCATCAAATAATTAACATGGAGGAGCTGTAGTCATTTACTTCAAAAATTCAATCACAGAAAACCCTGCTTTAATGATACAGACAAAATGTGGAGCATCACTGCTATCTCACAGTAGTTTCTGTGGTGATGATATAATTTTTTGTTTGTTTGTTTGCACCATCACACAGAGAAGCTTTTGAACACATGAAAGGTGGCTATTGTGACTCTGAAACTGATGTCCCAATCCAATTTAATTTTAACATATTTATTCTTAAATAGCCACCTGTGCCTGGGGACTACTTCTTAGGCTAGAAGATTTCTGTGACTCAGACACATTTGGTTATTTGGTTTAGAGTAAATGATAGCTAGGCCTTGGTGTCTTTTGTACCTGCATTTATAGTTTCTAATTACATGCTCCGTGTTTGTGGACATGTCATTCACTTTCCCTGGGCTCTTGGATTCTTATTCAGGAAGTGAGAGTAAACTATTTATGCTTAGGGTAATTGTGATGACAGAAAATGAGGCCTAGTAAATTGCTAGCACAAACCAAGCATTCAATGAATGGTATTTATTACTAGTATTTAATATTGTAGGTTAATATTCAGAAAGATAATTCAGTCGTTTTGTTTCCTTTGATCATCAGCACAGGCATGCAATAAACTGTGAAATACAAAATTAGAGCTAACCCCAGGGGCTGAAGTCTCTTGTGGAGTAGCCTCTCGCTATGATTTTCTAGCTATGGATTCCTTTATCTTGGCCTTTCTGTTAGCTTTCCTTCTGCAATGTGATTGCTTCTAGCAAATCCCCCGTGCTCCTTAACAGAGCATTCCTTATCACTTGTTCTATAACCTCGGAATATCTGAATACTGTTCAAGGGAAGAAACAAATTGAGCTTGTTAAATCAATAACTTTAATTGTATGTACAATTTGAAGTTTGTAGAGTAAGATCAGAGGCTTTCACAAGAGTTTTTCTGTGGAATCAAAAGCAAAGATTCTGGGCCATTGTTTAACTTAACAGGTTGATCATCACAGTCCCTTGGGGGAACTGGGAAAATAATACACAACCTATTTGTCAGTCCTCCCTACAACCTAGAGACCTGGCATTGTTAAGAGCACTCCAGGTGATTCTGTTTCAAGGTTTGAAAACCACTGTGGTCTGTTTCAAGGTTTGAAAACCACTGTGGTCTGCCAAGTTGCTGGGGTGAGTTCTGGGCAGACAGGGCTGTCTGAGCCCAGGTTAACTGGGAGATTGCCCCTGAGTAAGGCAATCACACAGACACCATGCAGAACCAGCATGTGGATGGTGAGGACTCTGGAAATTTGACTGCAGTTTTCCCTGGAAAATAATAGCCAATCAATTGAATACATGCATTCATACTGGGGGTGGAGGGGGGGGCAAACTCCAATGTGACTGGTGATAACTTGAAAGCTTGGGAGAGCTGAGCTTTAACCTCTGAGCCACCAGAGAGGCCCCCAATTTTTTCTTTACTTTTCTTCTTAAGCTATAATGTCTTTTCTTTTTCTTTCTTTTTTTTTTTTTCAAGAGATGCCTTTAACGTAGTACTTAAATCTATTTAAGATATATTATAATTCAGGTTATGGACTTTCACATATGCAGTTTTACTAGTCGTTGACAAGACTATGTACAAACCCAGAAAATGGAGACTAGTGAAAACTCTGAACTGCTAATGTATTTTTCCAGCAGAAACTGCTTCTGCACTCAGACTCAGTCAGGCGCTTCCTGAGCACCTACACTCCTACTGAGCAATGGGTTAAGCGACATACTGATTAGTGTGTGGTGGCTTGTTAGATTACTAGTCAAATATTACATGCTTTTAGAGACAAAAATCTCTGTGAAGCCAAAGAATTCCAAGCATAGGTCAATGGCCCACTTCTCTTGAACAATACTCAACACAATAAAATTCCAGCACCACAGACCAATTTCAACAGTCCCAGAGAGGCTCTATCAGGCCCTAAAAGTTTGAGTCCAGTGAGAGAAAATGTTCTGTATCAGGAAGTGTTGGGGATTATGAAGGCACACTTTTTGGGGTAACTTATAAGATTGAAAAAAATGTACTGGTATGTTCTGGTTTAGACATTTTATTGTTTTCTCTTTAATCCTCCAACCACATTTTATGAAGTTTTGGTTTTGGTGATAATAATGTAAATATTAAATCTACACTGAGCTGTAGGAATGCCCTAAATGAGAACCGTAGTCCTATTAAAAGTGAAGACTTCCGACTAAGTTTCTCCTTAGTATGTAGTCTATCATAGAGAAGTGACAAGAGAAGTTGCAACTCCCTGCCTAAGTGCTTCATTTCCAGAGCAGGGATCAGAAGGAAAATTTTTTTGGCTTTGTAAAGAAGTGTTTTGGAAAGAAACTTACCTCGAAACAGCGTAAGCTAGAAAGACAAATTTACTACTTAATGCCTTTCCTCAGAAGTCTGGGATATTGGTTGGAGAGATGGCTGCCTAGAGGGGCTCATTAAAGTCATAAGGTCTTACTCTGTCTGGCTGCTTAGTTGGCTTTCCTCTGGTTTGACGTTATTCTCTATTCGGCTACCTCTAGTTGTTGCAGGCTTACATGACTTGGTCTCAGAAGCTGCCAAATGTGTCTTGGAAAAAGACCCCTTATTTTCTCTGATTAGATCATATTCTCCCAACCCCTCCTACCCCCACTTAATGCCCAGGGGTGAGATATATTCTAAGGGGCTTGTGTTCCCAACCACTGCAATGACAGGGAGGTTTGTAGCCTAGTCACACCCAGTGGGAGGGAATGGTTCACAAAAGGAAGAGATTAGGGGGGAAAAAAGTTAAAAAAAAAAAAAAAGAATTAAAGATTATCTTGGCATGACAGAGTTGTTTCTCTTTGCCATGGGGATGATGAAAAATAACTTTATTCTACTGTTCAAGACTTTCAGAGTTAATGAAGACCACAACATAATCTGTGATCACGTGAAATGTACTTGTATGCCAAAGGAAAGTTCCATTTAAAAATCCAATTGTCATGTCACTTTCTTAAAGCGGTTCTCTTGTAAATTGCCAAAATTTTATTATGGAAGTCTGAGTGTTATTTGTCTGATAATTTCTGAACTGAAATGAAACAGTGGTCTCACAATTCATCAATAGATGTTCTCTCAGAAATAAATGAGACAAATGTAATTGAATCTCAAAAGTATTAAAGGGGTAAAGGAACCGTTGCTAAATCTTTTTGAGAAGTAATTATGCTGTGAGTTTGTATCTCATTCAAATTCAACCATTTTTATAAATATGAATTTCATCTCTTATTTTCCAGTAGCAAACACTAAAATAGTGTGTTTAATCTTCCAAAACCCAACAAAACCCTCCAAAACCTAACCAAGCCCATAAGGTAAACTATGGAAAAAGCATGAAAAACCCACACATTATGAGACAAATAGTGATGAACCCCAAAATGTTTACTTCACTTTGAAAAATTAACTGCTCTGTGTTCTAGGGAGAGGAAATGGTGCTTGAGATCTTCCTCTATTTCTTCTTACTGCTTTCCACAAACATATTTTGTGACTCTTTAAGTCTTCAGAAATTAAGTGAACAAATAATATGAATATGGCAAAATCATACTGCTCTGCGGGCCAACAAAAACTATGGTCAGGTACCCAAAACTCTGATGGATTGGCTACCAGTTAGGGTTAACACATTCATGAAGCTTGTTCTTGGTGTCCTGTGCTGTGTGATTGGGGGGTTTCTTGGTTGTTGGGACCTAGGGTCCAAGCGCCTGAGCGCTCTGAAGGGGGGGAGGCTTGGGAGTAGGGGGAGGATGTGAGACAGAAGGAGGGACAGGTCTAGGAGTCTGGTTAAGGAGAAGGGGGTGGGAACGGAAAGGGGGTGGCACAGGGAGGAGGGTGGGGACAGGGGAGGGGGCGGGGCGCTTTGGGGGCGTGCACACTCTACGGAGACACGCGCTCTCGGCCACAGCAACTCCCTTCAAGTTCCCTCCCTCAATCTCCGGGGAAGCCTGGTTGAGCCCTCCCACTCGGTGCGCCGAACCGTCGCGGCCGCCGCCAGCCGGGGCCCTCCACAGCTGCGCGTCCTGGGCCAGCTGGGCCGACCCCGTTCGCCCTCTGGTCCTGGATCGGCGGAGTCCGCGAGGGCTCTGCAGCGCCTGCCATCTGCGATCCGCTCCTCCGCGGCGCCGGCTGTAGGGACCCAGTCCCCAGCGGGCCCTGACTCTTCCTCCCCGCCATACCCACGAGCCAGAGCCCAGCTCGGGCCCCACCGCCCCGGGCCGGGCAGCCCGGCCGAGGTAAGGGTGGGCCGGGGGCGGGGGCGAGGGCGAGGTGGCGGGATCCGTGTCGGTGGCCGCGCCGCTCCCGGGCTGCGGACAATGCCAAACCGAGCGCGGGCGGAGCGAACCCAGGTCCCTGCCTGCAGCCTCCCTGCCGGGCCTGGGGCTCAGCCCACCCTGGCCTGGGGGCCGCACTGGCCAGGCTGACCTGGGCCGGCTTTCTGGGCCTCGAGGGGAGGCGCGGCGCCGCTGCCTTCCTTCTGCCGGCTGCGCGCTCGCTTGCGCGTCCCGGGCCGAGCGCGGAAGCTGGGCACTGTCGCTGGGGGTCGGGGTCGGGGACTCTGGCCGCGCTGCGGTCAGCGAGTGGGCTTGCAGACGGGAGTCGTGGTCTTCGAAAGCGCGTCTGACGGTTGCTGCTAAAGGAAAAGGGTGGGCAAGGGACCGGGACTCTCCACTCAGCTACGTTTCCTTGCATGAGCTCTAATCTAGGGTGCAAAATAATTTGGGAGTATCATTTATCTTCTAATCCTTGGCTAAGAGTTGTTGCAGCAAATGCAGATTTCGAGACTCTGAAAGTTTGTGTTTGGTTTATCCCTTCCAGCTCCACCCATGGTCTCAATTGTCTCGACTTTCTTTGAAAGCGAACAGAATGGAAATAGAATTAAATTATCCTTGGCTCACCGGTGCCCCCATCACCCAGCGGAGCTCATAACTTGCAACAAAGGGCATGTAGGCTGTGGGAAGCGCTGATGCCTGCTGCCCAGCCTAGTTAGAATAGGAACTGCACAGTGTAAATGGCTGTGACAGTTCTCCCTCAGTGAAGGTTTTGGGGGTGGGAGTGGGGTGGGGGAGTAGGAGGTAAATGGAGATTACTTTGCTGTAGGTGTGCATTGCTCTAGAGAGTAGGAAGTAAACACCTGGTATCTGACTTTTTAACCCTTTCAAAAGTTCTTGAGAATTACTGAGCCACACACACAAAAATAAGCAGGCGTCTTTGCCTAAGATGCAAGCACACTCATTTTTCCTCACTGCTGAGCCCTGAGCAAAATCTGGCACACATCTGTGACAACACTGGTATTGTCAGCAGCATAAAGACTACTAACTGGTTTGTTTTTAGTGCAGGCAAATATGATAGAGCATTTTTGCAATATGAATAATAGGACTTCCGTTTTCTCTTGCCCTATTTGCACTGACTATGTTTACTGAGTATTTTCTTCTCAATATACATTTAGGTATGGGAAATACCTACGTTATGGCCCCTGGTAATTCAGATGAGCTGTTTATTAAATAGTTGTTTTAACAGAAGAGTGAGTTAATGATCAGCCAGAATTCTTTGTGGCAACTAACATTCCATTGATGCACCTTAAGGTTTTTAATCTATGGTGTTACTATAGTGCATACAATAGTAAAATCACTTGCTGAACTGGGAGGTAGTGATGCTTTATCAACCTGATAATCTGTAAAATGCTGACATTTGTGCCTGGAACACAGTGCTAGGTACCGACTAGTTTATTTTTTACTATTAATCCATGTTTTGTTTTTTTTTTCCCTCTGTTTGGAAAAATAAATTCACTATCTTTTTAATCATGACTATTTTAAGTCGGGTTTATTTTTAAATAAGAATTGAGGTTAGAATATTGTTTTGTTTATGACTGTTCTGTATATTGTCCTAGGCAATGTAAAGGTTGATTTAGTAAATCTTAGGAAGTTGATGGGTTAGGGCAAAGCCATTGTCCTGGACGTGTCTGGGTTTCATAATAAGGAGATCTAAGTTTGCTTACGGACCTAATTGTGTAGGGAGAAGCCTAGATGTTAGTGGAAACCTGGACTCTGAACCCCATCCCCAAGATTAGGTTAGAATGATACTTGAAATTCCTAGTTGGAAAAAGGTGTTCTCATAACTGTTAGGTAACTTCCACTGTGTTAAAAATAATAAAAGGTAAACATATGGACTGTGTACTCATCAACCTGAATATATCATTCTTTCTTGTGTTTTAAAATCGTTAGAGTAAGATTTATAGCCTAACGAGTTAAGATAAATTTATTTACTTACACCATGTGTCCATAAACAAAAAAACATTGTTTGGATATCTAGAAATTTTTTAAGTTTGTTACTTTCATTTTGAGATGCTCCCGCACCCTCGTTTTAATTTTGAAGCCATGTCTTTTCCATTCCTGAGCAGTTTGTTTAGGTAAGCAAAGACATTGCCTTAACTCTTGGCACCCTGCAGAATCTGTGCTGCTGTAGCACGGAGTGGCAGTAGATGGCGCTGTGGGTAATGCTGCAGGAGGAGGCGTTTGTGTGGTCGAGTTGATCAGAGATTGATTTAGCAACCCATTGCTTGCCTTTTTCTCAAAATACACTTTCACCACACAGACCTTGTCTAACAGTCTTTTTGGGAATAAGATACTTAAAATAGCTTTCCTTTGTAAGTCCTGATTTTTAAAAATATTTAGTTAAGCAGATTTTTCTCTCTGAAGGCCATTACATTCCAGGTATAAGAGAATCATTGCTTTTAGAAATAGATTTTGTGCCCTTTGACTCTGATTTTCCTTTAATAAGTAAGATCGATCTATCTGAACTTAAGAGGTCTCCAACAAACCTGGGCTTTTGGTCTCCAACCAACCGGGGCTTTTTTCCCGAACATTTAACTTAAAGAAAAAAGGAACAAGTAAGGAATTTGCCCACATCTTGACTTAACTATTACAGCAGTTTAAAATGAATTCGCATTTGCTCTGTGACTTTCAGCATTTTTCTGACTCCTGGTATGATGCAATGCCAATCCATATTCAAGATGAAGATTGAAGCTCAGCAAAGCCATGACTCATTCATGGAAAATAAATTCATTCTACTCAGGAAAAGCAGCAAGGGTAGAAAGTGATAAGCACATCATGAGGGTTTTCTGAGTTGTAATGGAAGCCACTTTGTAGGTGGACTCTGGGGCAGTCTCAATCCCAGGCACTGGGGGTACCATCTCTTTGCCCCTGCAACAAAGTGGAGTTGCTGTTACCAGTTTTGTGCAGGTGAAGTGAAATGTCCTCCCCGAGTCCCCAGCTGTGTTTGTAACCTAGGGGTGTGTTCCTCTGGGGCCCTGCAACTTTCCATGTGGAATAACCTCTGTTCATTCTTTTGGTGTTTGACACCAACAGATCTCTTCTTCCTAATTCGGTGGCATGTTTTGAATTTCTTGGGCAGCATTTGGATATGACAGAATCCAAAATGCAGAGAAATTTAAGTTTCTAATTAAGTTCTTAATAAGTTTGTAATTGTCAGAGGAAGCTTCTAAGATTTCACAATACTTTATTAAAGACAGCTTATTTAGGAGGGTCAAGAAGATGGAAGACAGGTTTCACTTCTTTGAACTACCTACAACCCAGTGCAAGTGGTTTAGATTATAAAGGAGTAAAGAGTATTGGTTGTTTTTGGCTTCATTACTCAGGTGATCTGTGGTAGTTCTAGCTCCCCAATACTTCCAGTGACTTTCTTTTGGTTAAAAAATTAAACGTCTATAGGCCCTCCCTGGTGGCACAGCGGGTTAAAGCACTGCACTAAGAAGCTAAAGCCACTTCCTCATGAGTTCGATTCCCGCCTGCCCCGGAGGTGACCACATGACGTGGCAGACCTCTCATGACCCGCCCGCTGCTCCCCTCAGCAGTGTTCTTCGTCGATCTGCCTGCTCTGCTCCCCACTCTGTCCCTGGTGAATCCTCTCACCCTCCGCATCTCTAGCCTGTACCCCAGTTCTGTATGAATAAATAAATAAATCTTAAAAAAAAATTAAACGTCTATAAATTTTGATCACTTAACTACATGAGAAGATTATAGTGACTAATGAAACATTGGATCAAATCCCCATTCTGTTTATTCATTTTTTTTTCATTTTTACACTTTAGTACTTTAGTTAGCCAGAGTCTAATGTAATTTTTAAATTGGTGATTTTTTTTTTTACACTGAAGGCATTACTGAAACATCAAAAAGTAATACTTGAGTAGTTTTTTCAAAGAAGATCCCAAATTATTGCCCTGCATGTTAAACACAGCATTGACTCTGAACTTCGAAAGGATAAATTACGGGATAATTTGCATGGAAGATTTTGCAGGCTAGGAGTGGGAAATTTAGTTTTTCGTTGTTCGTGTATGTCATCATGCAAATAAAGTAACTACAGATGATTAAGATATGAACAAGACACCTCCACTATTGCAGAATACATTTTCATCCTGTTTTTAAACCTGACTTTGTTCCTGGATGACCTTTTGCAATATAAAAATGAATGAACTTAAATCGAGCATGTGTGTATTCTGATACCATGGGCTTCCTCCTACTGTGAGAAGGGACGGTATGTGATTTTTACATTGTGCAGTTTGAGTTTCATAAGCAGAATCAAATAAAAGCCCTGCAATTGAAGATAGAAACATTTCTTTTTAAAGCAAACTTTAGTGATAAAGCAAATTTCTTCCTTTTTTCTATATGCTTGGTGACAAAATTTGTTGACATGTAAATGATTAAACAATTACAATCTGGAACTAAAACTGTACAAACTTCGGAGAGAAGTTCAAAGGAGAACACTAAGCAAAGGAAACAATATCGCATTTAGCAGATAGGTCTAGGAAAATGATAAGAATTCTGTAGAGTATTCTATAAATCAGAACAAGATTGATGGGTTTTGAAACTGACCAGTTCCAGATTAAAAAAAAAAAGAAGAAGAAGCAGATGGAATGTTTTTTGGGTGGCAATGTTGTAATGTAAAACTTCTTTTACTCACAAGCCCTTTAGAAGCTTGCTGCTTTTTTTTTTTTAATTTTCTTTTTCAAGAGCAACCACAGATAGCTTAAAAATGATCATCCATGCCAGTACATTTTTTTTTTGTCTCACTTGACTACAAATGAATACAACTATGTAATAGAATTTAGTTGTTTATTTTTTCTATTATGGTAACTTTATTAAGTAGTTGTTTAGAAAAGATCTGTGGTGTTCCAGGTCCTGGATAAGCAGAGCCAGAAGAGACAAAGTTCCTGCCT